CAAGTGTAAACAAGCCCTGCTGAATTACTCTACTGACTTTGCATTATTTAAAGGGAAGTGCTGTTAGTACAGAAGCCAGCTGTTTAACTATTGGAAATCTGTACCTTGGCCTGCTTTCAGGGGACTTCAGAACAGTGTGACTAGACTTTCTATCTGCTTCTAGCACATGGAAAGAAACATTCACATGTTGGTACAGTAGATTAAATGAGAGCCAAAAATTCTATTAAGTAAACTTTGACCTACATGATATGGAACCTCTTTTGAGTTAGCAACTGACAAAAAAGGAAAGAAACCACCAACGAGATCAGTGTACCTCAGCAAAAAGGAATGCCTAGGACTGTTATATGTCCACAGGCAGCACTTTGAAGGCTGAGTAAATACAAGGGACTTTTTGATAACAGCTGGAAGGCAGTGCTCAAATTGTGTCAGAAAGATGAGAAAGAACTATATGGATGCCCAGCATACTGACACAGCAGGGTCAGACAGTATTTTAAGGCAGTATCTTACGAAAAAAATAAGGAACAGAAAACTGGTATCAAATGTGCAGAACAACCAGCCATTTATTTACTAATATGGATTTTGGTCTAGAAATTAACTTAAGTGTTTAGTTACGTCAGTCCCTACGCAGGAGAGCACTCAGGCATGCGCTTACTGTTGAATATGTGTCTTAGTCCAACAGACCGTGCAGAAGCTTGAACATTTGCCTAGAACTAAGTGCATACTTTGTTAACTTGATGAACTGAGACCATCTGATCCTGCAGTCCTTCCAGAAGAAGATGGGCCAAATACTGTTAATATTTGTAGAAGTGGTAGTATCTCCTTGTAATTGTTTATCTCATCTTTGTCTGTGATAGCATCTTTGTATACTTCAGGACTTAAGAGCACAGCAGCAATTTAAAGTCTACTAGTTTAAAATTAATTCAAACATCAGATACTTCCAGAATCATGATAACTGAAAAAGAATAATTTTTCCTATTTTTTTTTGTATGTATTTGCTCTATCTGTTGTACAGCACTTTTAGGTATTGTCAGTTTGTATTTCATACATATTGTAACTACACTAGATTGCTTAGGTCTTTTAAAAACCTTGGGAAAACTTTTTTTCTTAAAAAAAAACCAAACCAAAACAACGCAAACATTTGACTTCATGGCATTTAATGTGCCATGTACATATTTAAGTTAGTAAATAAATGACAGGTTTCATTGTTGACCACATCACTGAACTGTTAGTGATTCCATTCCAAACTTGTTACATTTACGATACAGGTTTTTTAAAGAGCTATAAGATAGTATATCCTCCTTCATAAAGTTATTATTCTGTCAGAAAGTAAAACAACTCATTAGAAGTCTTTGATCTGGCTACTATAAAGATAATTTTGAAGTAAACTGAGATTTTCATCTGAAAGATTCCAGGATTCAGGATTTGTATTAACTATTTATGTATATGATAGTGCAGGAGAAATGTTGCTACTGAGGCAAGCAATGCTTCATGGGTTATTCAAGGTATTTTGTCAAATTTATAAGCAGTTAAATTTAAACACTCAAAGGTAAAATAACTTGCACGTAATTACACAAGAAGATAGTCGTTTGATGAGAATAAAAGTCAGAATCGTCAACTTCCAACTAACAAAAAAACTGTATAAGTTCCTGCTTGACTTATTGGGAAGACATCACATACAAATAAATGAGTGATGTTATTAAAAGTTAGAGTAGATGGCTTTAGTTCCTCTACTTTATGCATTTAAAAAAATCAAATATATTCCTGTTGAAATGATTGTATTTACCAAAAAGTCATAAATTTCATACAAGAAATGATAGTGATAACCTGGTAGAATGCTACATAATCCATTGCATGTCACTTTTTTATTTTACGTCTTGAATAAACAAAGTCAGATTATATGATTGAGCTAAATTAAAAATTGTAAAATATGAACAGTGCTGTATAACTACAGGTTCAACACAGACAAATTGGAAAGAACTATTGATTTTTAAAGCAGATGAAAGATTTAAGAAAAACAGAAAGCATCATCTCTACCAATCAGTTCATCTTTGGCTTTAATCACAACAAACCTAAAAGTTAACTATATTAAGCAACAAAATTTTGAGACCTTGCAAACTTTACACTTCATTTGATTATTTCCTTTATAACTTCTTCATGTATCAGTGGATCCTATAAAACATGCAGCTTTCAGTCATTAGAAATTTATAGTCTTGCTACTTATGAAGGGAAGATTTCTTCTATCAGGTTCTGTAGTTAATTCATAGAAGTTCCTGGCCAACACAGTTCATCTTGCTGATTCTAAATTTTGTCACTTAGAGGTAGTATTATCTACCCAGTATGAATGTCATGAGGAGCTAACATTTTTAAGATTCTTAGAAGTGCAAAATATCACTAATCCTGAAATCTTCTATTGGATTGACAGATATTTTGGTTTTTAATAAGAAACTTTGTCTCTAGGTGGAAAGGTCATGATAAACCAGATTAAACTAACCAATGAACAGTCCATCCTTGTTTTTACTATTAACAGTAGCCAATAGTAAAATAGGAACAAACCAGATGTCTGTGCCTGTTAGGCTGCTATGAAATACCATTGAAAGGAAAATTCTTGAATGGGAGCTTTTAGAGTGTTTTCTTATGAAAAATTGGCAGACTGTGAAAAGAAAGGTAAGCTTAACTCATCAACTACTTGTTGATTTCAACATTTAGCTGGATCTATTAGGAAGAGTTACACCTGCATGTCCAGGAACAGAATTTGCCCTTTCGTGTCTTACATAGGAGTAAGACAAAATGTGAAATCCTACACAGTAAGGACACTCCACATTTTCTCATACCTGCAAAATTTTAAACGTATTAGGCTAAGACAACCTGATTAACAGACCAGTAAAATCTCCAGGGAAAAGCTTGTACCTTATATTGTAATTCAGTGAGTGAAAATAGTCTGGAAATAAAACCCCAAATTCTTTCTTAGTATTTATAACACTTTTCAGTGAAACACAGGAAACAACACACAGACAAATCAAAATATTAGTGTAATCTACTCCTGGCTTGCTGTTCTGTTTAGTCTTATGAAACAATCTAGCAGACAATGTACAGTATAGAGGCCCTTGGTGGATTGCAATATACTAAGTAAGCATGTTTTTCTTTTTGTTTAATTTATAGTCCCTAAAAAAACGGGACATTTAAAAAATATTGTCTGGGTTTACAAAGCTCATAGGGATAGTTAGTTCCTAGCTGACTCTACTTCTGGCTAAAATGTTAGACATACTTTACCACTAGAGGTCTTTCCATTTACGGATATACTAAAGCCTCAAGGGTTCTTCACCACTGGGCACATGTTTTAATCACAGAGAACTGCAAAATGAAGTGTTGTCTTCAAATTGACAAGTGCAGGACAAGTATACGGATATTAACCTAGAATTTGCTGTATAAGCTTTAGTGGCAATAATTTCCCAAAGAGAAACTGAGTTTTTATCTTTTTTGATACCCTTATCTTTTATCTAGCTTGAGTAATTTTTTAAAATGTAAACTCCTGCCAAACTCTGTGAATAACAGATTTTTGGTCTCAGTGATAAAACTGAAGCAGAAAAAAAAAAAAAAGCAAGGAAAAGAAGAAATGGTAGAGATGACTGAATTGAGTTACTTCATTTTCTGGCTCTTGGTGCAGTTTTCTTTCCTTTTTTCCATATTTTTGGGTTCTTAACCAATGTGGATCATCCTGTAAGTGGAAACACTTAATTCTGAAAATGTCAAAACAAAACATTTAATCTTTTCAGAATTTTACTGCCTGAAACCAAATTCTACCAGACTTTTAAAATAGATGTAGTAAGTAAGCAACTACTTATTTTTGTGAGTTTACTGTTCCTTCATTTCTAGTTAGTCATAACAGGGCAACTGAACATACACACGGGTTGCACACAAACAAGCCCAGGAAACAATGGATCTGTAATTTTTGCATAATAAAGCAGAGGATTCAATGGTTACTAAAGAAATAGTAAATCACTGAAAGAAAGGTAAAGAAGAAAAAGAAAAAGAAAAAAGAAAAAGAAAAAAGAAAAGAAAAAGGAAAAGAAAAAGGAAAAAGAAAAAGGAAAAAGAAAAAGAAAAAGAAAAAAGAAAAAGGAATAAGAAAAAGGAAAAGAAAAAGGAAAAGGAAAAAGAAAAGGAAAAGGAAAAAGGAAAAAGAAAAAGTGTAAAAGTTCTGTGAATGAAAATGTCAACCTTTACTGGAGCTGAGTGAAAAATACCAAACATCTGCCAATTTAGTAGTTTCTACACATGTTCAGTGCAAACTCAAAATGCAGGAAAGGACATGTTATGTCATTCCCATTTCCTATCTTGTTTAAAACTATGGAATATAATACCTTCTGCTTTAACCTTTTCCATCAAGCATCTTCCCACTTTTACTGCATTTTGCTGGTTACTTTGTTACTTTAGTTCCTATTCCTACTAGCTTTTGAGCTTGCAGATCTTACAGCCTGTGCACTGGTATATGGTATTTATTATTCTTTTGGAATACAGTGACTTCAGAGGGTGGCTCAGTGTAGACATTTCGTTAGAAAATACTTGCCTACAACACAGACATGATCTATGATCTTTAAACACCAGCTAACTCAGTCAGCTCAACAATCAGTTTTCATCTGAAAGCTAAAAGGCAAATTTCCTTTGTAAGGCTTCTAAATGCCAGATTTCAACTTCCTCCCTCTCCATTTTCAATGCCAAGACAGTTCAAGAAAATATTTTAATAATATTGTTCTAAGAAGATATAATTTTGCTCAAATGCTTAAATAGCAACCACCCGCAGACAGAGATCAAAGGTGGCCATTTCCAGGAATATCTTTCAAAGCTGTATCTGAGAACGGGGTCTTAGAATAGATACATGCAGGCAGACTCTACAACTGTCATTGATGATTCTGTTAAAATAATGCAATTTAATATAACTGCTTCTGAGATCTTTGCATTTTCTTTCTAACATAAATATTTTCCATTTGTGTTTTGAATAGGTAAGCCTACAGGGTATGGATCCAGCAGTAGACGCTTACACCACAAGGGGATAGTGGATGAATGCTGCTTCCAGAGTTGTGACCTGAGGAGGCTGGAGATGTATTGTGCTCCAATAAAGCCACCTAAATCTGCACGCTCTGTACGTGCTCAGCGCCACACTGATATGCCAAAAGCACAAAAGGTAGGCCAGGCTGGGGAAATAAAGGAGAGAAAAAACGGAAAAAAAAACCCCACAAAACAAAACCCAACAAAATCAAAAAAAACCCCAACAAAACAACAAACCTTCTTATTTTAGGGAAGTAAAATTCTCTTTAAGCTGCTAACATTGCAAGCCGATATGTTCTGCCTACTAGGGACACTGAGATTTAGTGGAGTTTTGGAAAATAGTGCCTGTGGTAGGAAATAAGTAGGAAATGGTGTGTTTTATCTCATCTCTTAGAACACTGAATAAAACATGGCATTGCTAAGCTAGTAGTTATGAGGCTTTATCCTGGGTAGTAAATGACAAGTACTCACATCATCCAGTCATAAATAGCACCTAAGATTTCTTCCAAAAGAGAAACCAAACACTGAATGTTTAACAACTGATCTATCCAAAACCTCCTCACTCATCTGCCTTGTCAGGAAGAGGTAGTGCGAGTGATCAAAAGGGAAAAAACAGCTCTTCTGCTATTAATTTTACATGTAAATGTTATTTTGGCTTTATTTATTTATTTATCAAAATTAAATTAACTGGGTAGTCACTGCAATCATTACATGCTTCATTTTAACTATTTAATGTTTTATATGCATATTCTCCAAGCACTTCAAATATTCATTGGTTGTGGAGTTCAGATTAGCCAGATTTTTGTTCTTGTCATAGTAGATATACTGTACATATATGTAGTTAAATCTCATCTCTCCTCATCAGAGCCTATAGCTCAGAAAACCCATTTTAGTCTAGGCTACCACTAAACTCATGTCCAACTCTCTCTCCTGTTTGAGTTCTGCACATCTGCTTTACATGTTATCATTTATCTGCTGTAAGCCTCAAGTGATATATTTTGTTGCTGTTGACCCTGTCTGTCCTACATATACATTGGCCCCACTCCCGAAATTATGCAAAACAGAATTGCATGAAATTATAAGATTTCATAGAAAGTCAAGAAATGAGCACTATAGACTTATTTCCTTAATATCATCTAATTGAAAAGACCAATTGGAATCATTCCAGCACCCATTTCTTTTCTATAAGTCAATCCAAAGAATGGAATCCTCTCACCTCTTCTTCAAGAGTTTTCAGCCTTTTAAAGCAGTGGCTGTATGATTCTTCCTTGGGAGTATCACCTTAGCCATGAACATCTCAAAAGGCATACATGACTACAAGTGAAGCCTTCTTCAGGTAGAGCTCAGCTATAGAAAGAAAACTTTGTGGTTTATTTTTATCTGGGCACACATATATTTAAGGTTTGCGGGAAAAGAAAAAAGGATTGGCCAGTAATCTGTGTACTCCTTTTCATACTTGTTGCTAAGGTGATGGGTAAAACATTCTGTAACTTCAAACAAAAGGAGACAAGATACCTGCCAGTTTTCTGATGAATCTCCACACCAATTTCCTTGGAAAGCTAAGGAATAATGTCACTGTTCTTCAGGCAGCTGTCCTTTTCCCAGAAGACAGTCAAGAAAACACTTTTCTTACTAACAGGAAGGAGCAGAAGAAAGGCTTTGCATCTTTCTGCAGCAGCAGGGGAGGTAATGCTCAAGTAGAGACACTGGAAGAAAATTAGAGCATGTAGTACTTGAGAGAATCTAGCTGCAGAAGAAATCATCCAGGAAATTAAAAGGAGAAAAAATCAAGAGGCGAAAAGGACAGTAAAAAGACAATGAAGAACAGAGGAAAAGGGGAGAGAATTGGATGAAAGAGACTGAGAGATAAGAAATATTGAAGAACTGAATGAACCATGGTGTATGACACAGAAAAGACAGGATTTTGAGAAAAGAGGAGAAAATATAAAATTAAAGAAAAAATAGAATTTAAAAATCCCTACACCTTTAAAGAAGATGTATGTGAAAAGGAAGAGGGAGGTGAATAGAAGCAGAAAAATCACAAATGCTTCTTGATGGGAACTTGGCAATAAAATATCAAAAATCTGATGGGAAAAACAAACTAAAATTTTCATCAATATCTGTGCATGGAGAGAATTAGATTGAGGAAACAAAAATATAGAAGGGGTAGGAGAAACTATTATTCAGTTTTATAATAGACAAAAGGAGAGACACCAAAGGAGAGACACAATTGGAGAGACACCAATTTGATGGATGGA